TTAAAAAACATTTCAAACAGGTTTCATATACAAGACATAAAATGGTTTGCCTCCTATAACTCATGTCCCCCTTATGAGGACAGGCTAAATTAATTTAAAATTAAATTTAACTACAAATTAAGTGCCAAGATTTCCAAGTTAAAGATCTTCTCGTGGTGTATGGACAGTTTAATTTAAACTAATTTAAGCTAATTTAGTCCATACCTATTTTTCATCTAAAAACTCTTTCCTTCCCAGGTGAAATACCAGTTTCTTTAGAAGATGATGAGGATGCTGCAGGAGATCCACTACTTTTTATATCTCATGCCAGACCAGTTCAACTAGGTATAGTATGATGGTACAGAGAGATCAAAAACTAAAAAGCAGCATGGGTGTCAGAGCACTTCCCGATAGCTTGGAAACACTGTCATTCTGTTTCTGATCAGCGTAGCTTTAATACAGCCACACTTTTGCACCATCTCCTTGCCAGTGTTAGCACTCAGTGGGGTGTTGTGCATCACTAGACACTGACCACTGCATATGATGTAACACCTGCATGGTCCCCATTCACATGTAAAACACATCCCATGCTATTGCTTAATCATGTTAACTGCATTAACCACAGTAATTTTGTTAAAGGCAAGTGGAAAGTATGCCAGATGCTAGTGTGGATACCTATGTCAGCTTGTGGCTTTTCCCTGGCTATTTTCTTAAATCCTGGATGCTTAAAGCAGCATGAGTGAATGGCCTGAGCCAGGAGAGAGATGCAGAGCAATGCAGACTTGCAGTGGTCTCCAGCATAACTTCAAAGTCACCTCTCCAAGCAAGGAGTAGTCAGCAATGCTTTAGTCCAACCAACCACAGAACTCATTTGGAAAACGTCCTACTCTGGTAGTTTTGGTCAGCAAAGTTATAAAGCAAAGGCATAAGACAGAAAGAGGAAGAGCATCCTAGGTGTGAGCCCCTTCAAGGGGCAGCTACAGGAAATGGAAAAACATAAACACATTTTAGGCAGATTTAAGCAACGGATGTGCTGATTTGTTGTCTGGATGAACAGCACCTGTCCTGAATTTCCTACATGCTCTTTCTATTTTTGATATACCCTCTATGCCTTAGTATACATTCCAGTCCAATCACAACAACTTCCACTACAAAATCTGCAAGGGGACATATTCAGGAAGGAAACAAGGCACAGGCTAAGCCTGTGACTATTATGTTACACATTACACCCCTCTTGCCTGGCATAGAAAGAAATTAAGGAAGAGACCAGAACGTCACATCGAATTTATGCACATGTAAAATACTTCATGCACATAAACAAAACATGAAGAAAGTATCTGAATCAAATTTTACAGGAACGTGTTTTTATTTCTCTGCTCAATACACTGCCAAGCAGAAGTCTTCAATTCTGAGGAAGCTGCTTTCTACAAAGTCAGCAAAATAACTTCAATTGTATGGGCTCTCAAGTACATACTAGTACTAAAATGCCCTCCTCTACTACCTCTTCTAGTCTGTAAGTTTCAGGCCGTATCTCAGAAACCACTGAAAGAAAAATATTGATCCCTATGTATCAATAATGTCTAATATTTTGGTTTTATTTCAGCAGATCTCTCAGGTGTGAGGAAGTTTAGGAAAAGATTAAATATGGCATAAATGCACCTTTCAAATAAAAGAAACTGTATATCTTGCTTAAACATTTTTTTAAAACAAATTAGGACTAAAATGCTTTTAAGATATAAGAAAAATTTTTGCACTGACCATAACAACTTTGTTTCAAAGTGGTACTTGTAGGCAGGATATTTTGAATCAGCATGTTTTTAAAGGGAATGAGAAACAAACAAACCCACCATTTTCCACTCTGCACACAGCAGAATAAGTGAGCAATAGACTGAGTCACCAGAACTCATTTGAACTAATATCCACAACCAAAAGTGGGCTCAGTTGGAAATGAACTGATTAGTGAGAAATACTAGTCTATTTACAAAGAGTAAAGAAACTTTATTCTTCCCAAATGCCCCCATGCTCTATAGCTTTGACTAGCAAGTGTAGAGAGCACGTCCTTACATTCTTTGTCCTCTCTTCTTGTCATCTTCCCTAGGCCTTTCCTCTCTGGCCTATCTGATGTTGGCAGTTATCATCTGTAGCAGTTCCTATGGTTTGATTCACCAGTAAATCAGCATTTTCTTTCACTCCCTCAGGAAGAAATAGAGAAAGCATAATTGATGTGCCACCTGAAAATTACCCTTCTCACCTACACTGACTATGAGCTGGCTGCTGCAGAGTCCTGATTAACTCAGGACTATAAGGAAAAAAAAAATCTGTTAGAACAATTTATTGACAACTAGAATGAATTATGGAGAATAGCAAAGAATGGCTTTATCTAGGACAAGTTTGTCCCCAGACAGGTTATTATAAATATGCTCTACTGAAGCTCTGTGCACAATCAAGGGTCTTATACTATTGCCATCACACACATCTCAGTGGCTATAAAGTATCGAGCTCCCATAATCTGGTTTGCTCTTCCAGAAAGAGACACTGACAGTCATTTATCACTGCAGTATGACTGTAAAAACCTGTCAGTTACTGTGCATTTTCATGCTGCTTTATTTGATCATGCCCTGGAATTGGTTTTGGGTTTGTTGATTTGGGTTTTTTTTTAGTTATTTTTGCAAGGCTTTATAAAATGCCTGAGAAATCACTTTCCAAACTAATTTGAACCAAAACAAAGTCCTAAAGCAAATTCATAAATAGAAACAAGGAAACACTAATAAACTAAAATACATAATATTTCAGTGTTTTAAGTTATTGCTTGGGTGGCAACCTTTACCTCATAATGTTAAAAAAGTTGTAGACTGGAGAAATTGAAAAAAATCTTAGTTTTGCAGAGTAAGACAACTCACACTGATTTTCACTAAAAAACTCGAATATTTTTGATTGATCTGCCCTGAGAAAGGTGCTGGTTCTGTGCCTTGAGAACTGGTTTCTATCACACAAATGTTTGACTTAAGCAGAAGTCTCCATTCCTCTGCTCCCCTCAACTGGGGTGCTTTGTTAAGAAGGATCAGATTCTTTAGATCCTTACCCAGGTTATATCTCTCCATGTGTGTAAAAACTGAAGTATGGCATGAATGCAGCAAGTTAACTCTTGATGCTAGTGTCAGTGACTTGGGGCCAATTTATTATTGTGCTCATGTAGCATATCTCATCTTCCCAACAGTACTCTTCTCCTCTCTAATGTCTGAAGGACAAAGTAGCTCATCAGTTGTTCCCCAAGATCTTACAAGTAAAAATTTAGCGTATTAGGACACAGAAGAAAGAAATATTCCTCTTAGATTTATTAAATGTACATATGCTATCTCAATATCTATCTTCAAGTGAAAGCAAAAATTATATCAGAATTAACAAAAATGCTGACAAATTAATAACCAATAGCTTGATTTTAATGTCACCTCTGCTCCTTCTTCCTCTAGGGAAACAGCATCCTTCATTCTCATTTTCTCTGTCCTTTTCCCACCCTAACCACCCAATGCAGGTAACAAATATCTGTGTCTCTCCCCTACCCCACACAATGCAGGTAATCCAGCGCCAGCAGTAGAGGCTTCCAAACCACCGGCTTTTATTCCTACAGTAGCAAATGAAGGAGGAAAACACTGGACTGTTAATGAAGTCAGAGCTTTGATACGCATATGGTCAGACAAAAATATCCAGCAACAACTGGAGGGGACAGTGAGAAATAAAAGAATATTTGAACAGGTTGCTGCTAGACTGCAAAAGTTTGGAATTGACAGGGACTGGAAGCAGTGCAGGACAAAATACAAAAATCTGAAACATGAATACAAGAGTGTAAAAAGTGCCCAAGACTCAGGGAGTACCAGTAGAAGTATGAAATTTTTTAATGAACTGGATGCTATTCTGGGGCACTGCACCATGGAACGAGCAAGTAAATCAGATAATGATGAAAGTGAGAGGCCTCCAGAATGGACAGAAGCAAAATCAGAAAAGGATTCTGTAGGTAAGTACTTCAACTACCCGCATATAATTTAAAATTTTTAGTTTTCCAGCACTAGAGAAACTAGAGAAACAACAAAAAAAAAAAACCTCAAAAAGCACAGAGAGATTAACCAGTTGGCTGGGGTGGAAAAACATGGAATGGAAATTTGCTATTTTGTCCAGTAGTTTTATTTTTGTTATATGGTAATACTTCAGATTGAGTGATTGCCCTGTACGTTTTTTTAATAGAACTGGGAAGCAAAAGGAGGAAAAAAAGATGAAGACATAGGATAAAATTATACAGAGAGACAATTCCAGTCAAAATCATGTCAAAAGAGACTCTTTCCAGTTTAAATAACAGAAATGGATCTGAGAGATAGTCAGACTATGTTACTGGAAAAATTAAGACATTGAGCAAAAGAAATCTGTAATAACAGACATTGGTTAAAAAATTATCATCTAAATTGTCTTTCTCTTTTGCTCCAAATAGCTCAGTTTGATTGGCCTTTGGAGAAAGACTCCCAAACTGGTGAGACAACAGTGAAAATAGCAAAAGGGACAGCACTAAGAATGCTGGCAGAGCTTGCCTTTGGTTTTGGGTGGTAATTGACAGTTAATGGTAATGGATGATCAATGCAGAATTAAGAGCAGACTGATGAACCTGCAGTACCCAAGAGTTACAACATTTTTATTGGTATATACAACCAGAAACATACTTGTTGTTTAAGAACAGAATTAAACATTAAACTTTTAGTTGAGGTGAGAGAATGATACTATGTTGGCCAAATGTAAGACTAGAAGTTAGTAAAGTAATGGGAGAAGTCAAGAAAAATATTACATGAAGACAGTCTGGCTGAAAATGTTAGAACATTTTGGGGGAAGATTAACTCTTCAGTTGCCATTTCTAGACATTTTGCTAATGCATCTACTTTGCTTGCTGGCATAAAGAGCATCCGAGGCTGGATGGACTTTTTAATTTGATACACCACAGCTGTTCTTATAAAGTATAAAAAATTGGTGCCCTAATTAATTTAGCTTTATTTACACAGAAATGCCTGGAGACACAGGTGAAGAAGACTCTGTTAGTAATATGTCAGAAGACCTACAGATTGCAGATATAAAGAAAGTTTCTGATTCAGGTAATCTGAAAAGTCTTCTATTTTATATAAATACCTAAATTTAGTAATTTAAAATTTATTTCTAAAATGAGCCTAAATTGTAATTAAGGGTAGAAAAGTCAGAGACCTAGAAAACTTAAAAGCAAGAGATAATGTCATAGAGATAACCATCACGTACTTATGTACACATTAACAATGTCCTGCTAAATTTGATAAAATCAGTCCAGTAAGTAATCATTCAAAGACTTGTGATGCAGAATGTAGAGAAGAAACTACTGGTTTAAGAGTTGAGTGTAATGTCCTACTGCATTTACATTTACTTAAACTATGTATTCCCAAGGATTAGAATTGTTCAGTCTCCTGTGCATGAACTAATAGAGCATCTCTTTTTCATAATACGTGATCACGATATAATTGTGTAAATGCTCATGTCAGGGGATGAAAACTTCATTTAAGAGTTTCACTGAATATGAAGGTCATATGCCCTGCTCTTTACAAAGAAAGATTATGGTTTACATCTGAAAATATAAATTTCAGGGGAAGCAGAAGTTTAACATCCAGCCAGAGACACATGAAAGTCTCTCAGGCTGTCAGGTTTTATTGTCCACAACAGAGCACCTCATGGTCTCTTTCAGTAGTGTGAGGCAGAACATGGTCTAAATTAAGCATTAAGGAGTAGTCTTACTGAATTTAAAACACCCTAATGTGAACTTGAAAGATTTTAATATGAAATTAAAAATCTCCTGACAGATGATGTTACTGTAAATACTACTCCAGAGAATCGGACAGCTCTGCATATAACGAAAGAAACAGCTATGACAAGTAAGTAAAGAGATGGTTGATCATAAGAGGTAATTTAAGGTATACGAGACAGAGACATGTTTGTTTTTTCATTCCATAGCAATTACATTAATAAATTTAAATTTACTAGTAAATTTTAAAAAGCGACCTTTTACCAGACACTTAACACATTCTATGGAGAAAAACAGGTTGAAAAGTGCATTGCCTATAGGAATCTCATTTTCAGAGAGACAAATATGAAAGAAATAAATGACTTATTTGTGGAATCCAGTTGGGACAGCTTAAAAAATGCACTAAATTCCATTTCTCCCATATCAACAAGTAAAATTACTACATACACATGGACAGTAGTAAGACACTGTAATAATACAAAGATTCAGCAGCACTCCATAACTGTTATCTGGCAGATTTCAACCACTTGGTGCTACATAATATTGTAGCTATATTGGACTGCACTTTTCCAAACAAGCTATTTAAGATGAAATTAAATGAATATTTCTAGTAAAGTTCTCAGTACACATTTCTATCATTTAAGGTAAGTGTAGGTGTAAAGATATCTGTAGTTTACCTTGGTTACCAACTCCCTTTTCAAATATGTGTTTTTTAACTGCATACTTTTGTTTCTGGGTAATTGTAAATGCAATATGATTTTGTGGGGAAAATTAAAATAGCGAGTAGTTCAAAAGTGTCCGTGGCTCAGCCTGTCCACTCTTAAGAAACTTCTATGGGGGAAAAAGGCAAAACCACACTCCAAGGCAAAACCAACCATCAAGTTCAGTTTGCAGAATTCTTTCCCTCATTCCAAAACAAACAATAAACACTCAAATAATTTTTTTCAGGTGGTAAAACACACCCAGTCCTTAATTTTATTAATGGTCACATAATTAGGTACCGCATAAAGCAGGGATTTACATATTTACATTACAATATCATGGAGACCCTTTGTTCTGTAATCTCTAATGCCTTTCCTAGACAGACCAAATAATTTTGAAGTGAGAAACTGGTAAGTAAAGAGATTGTATGTACCTCTGTACTCATAAATATACACGATGATAAATAGTGAAAAAGGCAAACAGGCAGTGATACATTACACTGCTTGTTTGATATGAGTAATATCTCACAATCATTGGCATAGAAGATGTGACTTTTTTTAAAAGCTCCTGCACATTCAACAGAACTTATGTAGAAAACTGTTTCTCAATAGGCATGGAATTATTAAATTACAGGTACTGTGTGCCTTAAAAAAATTTGTAGAAAACCCCCATTTGAAATAAATGACAATTTAGAAATTCTGTTAAACTCACATCTGGGTATCTTCCTTATCAGTATATGCACGTAGTGTACTCTGCAGCCAGAGCTGTTTATACACTTGCTCATATATATATATATATATATATATATACATATATACATAAGAGTTAGCCTGGGCAGGCACTGCCTTCTGGCAACTGCAGCTGTGTAAATGCACTGAAGATGCACAGGCTGCTTCAGAGTGCACGTGCTTCTCATGATCTTACAGTGAATCTGAGTTATGAGCCACAGTAAGTAACACTGTCACCACTGTGAGTCTTCATAAACAGCCCAATTGGATTTGCCATACTCTAGTAAGAAAAATACTAAGGTGATGTTAGTCAAAAAACAAATACACCAGTTTCAGGAGAACACCTGAATTATTTGAGTTATTTGATGTGCCATGGTATTGTTTTTCTCCTCTGTCCATATGAATTTGCTACTCAAAAAGCAGCAAATGAGAAGGAGAAGACAAAGGTAAATAAATCCTCACAGCTCCTTGCACAGCCTGTCCTAGTTCCTGACACGCTGCTGTCAGCACTGCCCAGCTGGGGGAGCAGAAGGGTCACTACAGTCCCCAACTCGTGTGGGTTTTCAGCTGAACTGTCCTGTGATAGGCTGGGAACACTGTGGATTGCTCTCTCTTTTGGCAAAACATACCTCACACTGAATCGATCTGCAAATAAAACCTTATTTACTCATTTTCACTGATGTTTTCAATTTCATGAGATCACTTTAGCTGTTACAGAAATCTATTCAGAAGAGCCAATTACTTCAGTCTGTCAATCCAAACTCCAAGTACATTCCATGTGTGCCAGACTTAGCAGTATGACCACAGAGTGTATGTATAGGTGTTTGATTAAATTTGAAGTTTCAGGGAACAACAGTGGACATGAAAATAGGTTTCTAAGAAATATCAGTAGCCTGATGTTCTTAAAAATACCAACACCAAGTATTTTACTTCAAACAAATTCCTTTCCTTGTCATTATTTTCTTAGGAGTTTTGGTACCCCATACACTTTACTATATGTCCCTCTCAGAAAAAATTTGGAGTAAGTAGTGACACTTCCAAGATACATTCTTAAGCAAGGGCTTTTAAAAAAATCTGTTGTTTGAAGTTAAGATCTTAAGTTGGTACGCAGGCACTTAACATTGGCTTGAACACTTGCTGCTGTGTGCACGGAATTTTAAAATGTACAGATATAAAGTCAAAAGATAATGATTTCATACATATGCCCCAGGCTAGTGTTAAGCAGTGTTTCAGAGAAGTGTAAACCCCAAAGTTCTTGATTATTCACTGCCTTAGCCTAGGCATATTTGGGCTGCAGACATAAACTCTTTAACTGTGCATCCACAGTTTTCTGTATCCACTCTCACAGATCTGTGTGACAGAGAGGGCAGCAAGTTGTTGGAGCATAAACATAAGCCACACACTGAAAATTTTCCCTAGTTTTAGCATATCCCACGTCCCTTTTATACTATACAAGACACACATGAGAGTAAGGATTAGGAGACAAATTACTAATCTTGCCTCATGAGCCAGAAAACAAGATAATTAGTGATGGTGACAGAGTGCCAAAAGAGAACAGAGCTTGTATCAGTCTGAGTGGGTGAAAGGAAAGACTGTGACAGCATTGCTCGGGTGGCCTTGTGAGCAGTGCTTCAAACACAGAGTAAGATTAAGCATATTTGCTGGCAACTGTCTATAGCTTCACTAACAATGCAGATGGAGCCAGTGTTTTATCCATGCCAAAAACTGTCGATGGCTGTTCTGTTTGGCTCACTCTTCTTGTGCCCTCTCTCCAAAACTCTGAAAGGTGCTTTAGAAAAAAAGCCAGGCTCCCTACCCACATTCTTGGCTCGCCAAAAAAAAAAAAAAAAAAAAAAAAAAAAGGCACATGATGCTAGTCACATCATAAAGAACATCTGATGCAAACAAAGCTGTATTGATCTGGGGGTAATTTTTAATAAAGTGGCTCTAGATTAAACTTTATTGCTCAATGTTTAGGTGCAATATTCTTGAATTGACTGAGAACAGGCTGGGAGCCAGAAAACTGCTGTCATTGATCCATGATGTGGCCTTCACCATTTAATCTCTGTAGAGCACTGTCCTCACTGGAAAGCAAGGATCAGCAAGACCACTTGCATCATCCACCTGCCCATGCCTCTGTCCCAGGGCAGAGGGGTGGAATTCTCCCTTAACACCAGCGGGCCAATGGCAAAGAAATGGAGATCTCCTCCCCATGGAGGGGAGCCCAGGGACACTCTGTCACCCGGCTGTGTGATGTAAACCCCTGCAAGCTGCAGATGCAGATATGTTCTCAGGACGGGCTTTAGTACATTGTCTCCATCAGGCAGGCAGTCTTACAGATCAATTGTCTAAGCATAGCACCCTGATATGTCAGTGTCCTTGCTCCTTTTGGGGCTAATTCAAACACTCTTGGCATCAGTCACTTGGGAATCTTTCAATAATTTCAGTATTTTTGCACCCTATATGCAGGTCACTGTCTTGCCTGTTCTGCTGCATGAACATTTGCTGGTAACTAGATATCTTACACCCACCATCAGTGAACCATTCTACAAATTCTGATCCATGTTAAAATAACATGTAACCCATAAACTTATACATTGCAGCTGTTATGTGATGTTCTGGATTTACTTTGTAAGTGGGTACACTCTGCTCTTAAGCCTATTACTTCAGATAAATGGTAGCTTTAATGTATTAAGAGAGGAAATCTTTAACAGTCGTTATCATCAGTGGCATTCTGAACGAGGTGATTGTCAAGACAACACTCAGAACGGGTTTAGTTAAAAAGAACTCTGTAAATTATTATTTTTTACAGACATCCTTGAATATGACAGGGACTTTGCCAACTCCACCCCAGCAGCTCTGGAAGCTACACAAATAAAGAAGGAGACGATTGATATAGGTAGGTCAGGACTTTGTCATGATAGTTTTAGCAGGACATTCTACTTTACTGGGCACTGCAGATTCCAAAGCTTCATATGTTATTCCAGCAAATTACACTTGTTCTACTTCTAGATGATGATAAATTATGTCTTTTTATTTATTAGTGCAAAAAATGTATGAACGCTTATTTCTCCTTCCCATAATTATAACAAAATCTTATTTTCCCAGACAACGTGCTCCTTTTATGATGAATATGATTAGTCTGCATTTGATTGTGACACAAATATAAACGGTTTTCCTTATACAGTTGCTAGAGAGGATAAAATGGAAAGGTAAATAACTGTGTCAGAAACTCAGAACATTTTATACCTTGTCTGTATTTTCATACTACTTCAGGACTGCATTTAATATCAGATGAGTTGCTACCAAGCAATTTCCATATATATATTCTGAACTATTTTAAATATAAAACTGAAATCAGCACCTCAGCAATATGTAGAAGTCGTACATTCAATGATAAGTGATCAGGAGAAGATTTTTTTTGTTTAAAATGTGAAAATTTAACATTAGAACACCGTAGGGATATTAATATTCTGGAATAAATGAGCATAAAACCCAAAGAAGATAATGAAAAAAAGACATCAGAGGACATAATGATGGCACTGAAATATAGTGACCTGACACCCAGGATCAAAATATTCTGTACAGCAATGCTGTTTGTATGCAGAAGTTAACAGAAAAAGAAAATAAATTTTAGTGATTCTATGAAGAGCAATTCTTTGGCCTTTGACACTGAAAGTTTCTACCATAAGAATATTTCTATTGTATGCATCAGGCATATTCCAGGAAAGAGCTTTCTTTTCAAATATGTTATCTGTAATTTGGATGTTGAGACGCCCTATGCAACACACCCTTTACAGCTGTTTGCATTGGCAGATCTTGATTGTGAAAGACAACTGTAGTGACTGTGACACTGAGGACAACATCAGAGCAATGCCATCACAACAATGACACACAGAAACACAAGTGACACTGAGGATAAAGTAAATCTGTGACCCTGAAAGTTGAGACATAGTGAGGTCACACGAATGCAAAGTGAATAATAAAATGTCATGCAGCTCAACTGACTGCCTCATATACACAAATTCCCTATCATGTAATATCCAATTGAACACAGTAATCATGCAAGTCAGCACTACACAAGTGCCATTGCCAAAGACAGGAAGAGATCACATAGTCCATATGGTTGAGAGAATAAGCACAGAAATGGAAGCCATGGGGAGGTTGGTAACAGTTTAAAAAAAAAAGTAATCTCTCAGGAGCCTAGGAGTAGACGTACAGCTGTGTTTTGGCCCATTTCCAACAGGTGCAAGTGTTAAGGAATATGCAGACAAGTGTCAAGGAAGGAGAGACTGTGGGGACAGTATGTTAAGAGAGTGTTTTTGATTGTCTGGAACTCATGATGGTGACAGTAAGGTTGAGGATATATGGGTAAGAATCAGGACCAGGCAACAAGGCAGGTATCCTGGTAGAAGTCTGTTTCTGACCACCCAACCAGGGCAAAGAGGCAGCTGAAATATTTTAGAAGCAGCTGGGAGAAGTCTGACACTCTCTGGCTCTTGGGGCAGACTTCAGCTTACCAGATGTCTGTTGGAAATAGACACAGCCTAGGACACAGCCTAGGAGGTTCCTGGAGTGTGTGACTGACAACTGCCTGACACAGCTGGTGAAGGAGCCAACCAGGGAAGATACCCACTGGACCTGGTGTTTGTGAATAAAGGACTGGTGGTGACTGGAGGCCTCTTGGGCACAGCAGTCACAAAATGACAGTTCTTGGTGAAGGAGGGAGGTCAGCAGAACTGTCAGCTTGGAATTAGGCAGTGGTGAAGTCACTGTCCCTGAAGGGATTTAAATGACATGTAGATGTGGCACTTAGGGACGTGGTTTACTGGTAGACTTGGCAATGCTAAGTCCATCCTAAAGGATTAGTGCTTCCATCCTAAATGATTCCATGATTCTGTGATTCTTCAAGTCTATAACTAATGGGTTAGACTGAGGGCTTAGGACACTTTTAGGTGGAAACAGATGTTTCCTACAGAGGATGACAATAATACTAGCAATTTATTTGTCTAAATCCAAGCCTATTTAAAACTGTATTTCTATAGATGATGATTCTACAAGCACTACCTCAGAAGACAGATCTTGTACACCAGTAGCAAAACGGATTGTTGGGACAGGTGAGTATTAATTTCCATGCATTTATTATGAAAAAAATCACATTGTAATTTCAGTACCAAAGCTGGAGCAATCAGATCTCTACTGTAAACACAGCTCTACTTTTCTACTCCTAATTCCATTCTAGCTTTGTTAGTAAACTTAAAAATTAGTTTCATAGCTCTTTTCCTTTAATGAGCAAAACTTGTATTAATACTGTAGTTCAAGTTTGCCTTCAATACATATCTAATGAGCAGCATCTGCCTACATCCGACTATTTTTGAGTCTGAAGATTTTTTTTCTTCTGTTGAATCCCAAGTAGCCTTTTCATTTGCATGTTGCCATTTTAATTTGAAACCACACTTCTCATCAATGCTGAGGTTTCTAAAGCTTAACGATTACTGCTTTCCTACATGTTGGATACATCTGTCTTTAATTTAAGAACAACAGTGGCTCAATTATAGTGACAAAATGTTCAATTTTAGATGCCTTGGAAAAACAAGAGATTCCACTTGCTACGCATTTGGCATACTTAAGAGAAAACAATTGTGTATGGATACTAAAATTATAAAGTTAAAAAATAAATCATTAGTTGCAATTATGCTTTCATATATGTATATTTAGCATGTATTTATAGCACTTTTAGTTAGTTGTTTTTTTTATTTATATTTTCAGACAATCACATTCCCTTGGAAGAAGCACAAAATCACTTTACAGTTATTACGGTTAATGATACGGGAGCAGGAAAACACTGGAGTGATAATGAAGTTAGGGCTCTGATAAACATATGGTCAGATGAAAAGATACAACAAATGCTTGAAGGGGCCACAAGAAATAAAGAAATATTTGAGGAAATTGCCAGAAGGTTAATGAAATGTGGTATAGAGAGAGACTGGAAACAATGTCGCACCAAGTACAAGAACTTAAAATATGAATACCGTGCACTGCAGAAAGAAAATGAACATCTTGGAAATCCCAGGAGAAAAATGAGATTTTATGATGAAGTTGACTGTATCTTAAGAAGACAGCCTCTGGGAACCTCCGGCTGGGGGTGTGAAAGCTCAAGTCTCCTATCAGGTACTAAAAGCTTCAGTGATGAGATAAAGTGCTTCAAGTGAACTTTCTAAGTTGCTTGTTGGAGCCATGCTGTAGGTGTGAAATATGTGGCCAGAAATGGGGAGGGAAAATAACTGGGGAAGCTGTATCTGCATGGTCACACAGGGAACACTCAGGGAACTCAAGTGGTACATGGAGACATGTAGAAGTGAGAATATTAGCAAAAAGTGAAAGCACTGAAGTGTTCAGTGTTACTGGAGAATCTTTGCTCTTGAAACTCTAAGTGACATACAGTGAAATAGTGCTGGAACACATGGCAGGTTTTAGAAGTCATACAGCAGGCATGTAAAGTCTAACGGATAGAGAGCTGCAAGCTCATACCATTTGGAACTGCAGAAGTCAGTAGCAATCAAGCCAAGTGCAAGGACTCCAAAACCTCCAAACTATATTAATTCAATACATACTGGAGTCAAGAGAGAGAAAAATCCAGGGCAGTGAGGTTTATTTGAGCCCTTGTAATAACTGTATTAATTTTACTAAAGCAGATTCAGTTTTCAAAGTAGAGTTTGTCTCTATCTTAGTATGAAAAACTCTCTGATCTAGGAGCCACACAGTGTCTGCTATAAGGGCTCTCGTGACTGGCCAGCTGCTTCAGACCTCAGGGTCACCTGCCCCTGCTCCAGGCAGTTTAGGTGTTCTTGTAGAAGTAACTGAACCTCTGCAACTTCGGTTTCAGTGACTTAAGGTAATGCAGAACTAATAGTGATTGTTCTCAATATGTTAGATAATAGTTTGCAATAGTACAAATGTTAGTTGAGGACTTGAACCATTTCTGCAACAAAGTTCAGATGGACAGCCTAACAGAAACTGCTGAAACCAGCATTAAGCCAGCTGTCCTCTATCATGAATCAGAGCCCTAGTGTGGTGTCCAAGGACATCATCCAGTTCTGCATTAGTTGTGGCTGGAATGACCTCCATGGAGCTGTGGGATGACAGTTCTCCCCTGCCTCAGTCTTGTGCTCGATCATATTCTCAAGACATGTATTTTCTTCCAAATACAGAAACCAAATATATTACTGCTCGTTTCTACTCTCCATGAATTGAGAGATATGGGATATGAGATAAGGCATATGTCCACACCAAGAATATTGTCAACACCAACAACCAACCTGGCTATTTTATATTTTAGCATGCTGGAAAAGGACCATGTGGAGTGACCATCACTCCATCTGTGAATAGTGATGGAATGGCCAGTAAAACAGTAACTTTTCAGAAAAGAAGCTTCAGTTATTAATCTGAGGCATCTGCCAAATAAATGTGTCTTGTCCTAGGGTATTCGCTTTTGTAGTATAAAACTTTTTGGTATGTGACTGACTGTGCTTTGAGAATCTCGACAAAACACTCAGTCACCTTGTTTTTTCTCTTCTGAGTTTCAGTGGGAGATGCTACAGACACAAGATCTTTGAGTATCAAGAGAAAAACATGGAATGATGGTAAGAGCCCCTGACTTTTAAAACTGTCTATACACTGCTGTTGAATTGGATGCCAGATTCTTATATCCAGTATTCAAACAGTTAAAAATCAACAAAATCAAACAAATCAACAATCAGCAGAACAGTTCTGATAAAAATGTAGGCATAAGGAAAATTGCAATTTATTTATTTCAGTCCTCATCCCTAGTATAAATGAGGTAAACATCAGGCAAAACTTACTTGATTTATAGGAATCATATGCAAAGAAAATATTTAAAAAACAAGATGTCTCAATTGTGTTGCTTAAGGGAAAGTGGAGATAGACACAGTTGTGAATGTGATTTTCTCATATTACACTACTGTGTCTGTAAGCATGTCTAATGTGTTGTACACAAGAAAACAGAATAAGACAGCTGTGTCAAAGGCAAGATAGACTAGAGAATCATGGAGAAAAAAAAATGATGCAAAGATTAGAAATATGTGGCGTGTGATCTGATATGGGGAAGGCCAGCAGCTTATTTTTCTTCCTTTAAAACTGACAGGCCATAAATAAAAAGAAAATCAAACAATGAGGAACAAAAAAACTTAGTTTTAAGGAGCTCACCACTATTTTTAATACTAAAATGGTATCTACAGACAGATGAAGAGAAATGATCTGAACATTACATTTTTGAATTCAACCTGTTTAGTTCACCACCACAAACTGTACTAACACTATTTAATCACTCTGTGATTAAACAGACTTTCATTTATTGCCTATTATATAAGTACCTCTTGGAAAGGGCTGTAGGCAAAACTGAAAGTTTGAGATATAAGTGATTTTTACAGGATCTGCTGCATTCCTACTCTCCATTGTACAATGATCTCTTATACAACACCAGGCAATGCCTGCCAAAAGAGCAGACCAGAAGAACAGCTTTAGGAAAATCCAGCATGTGCTAAACTTCAGTGTCAGCAGTTCATTGACTTGTGCACTCTAACCACGTACTTTGCTTTTGTCCACAGAGGTGTCATCTGTTCCACTTAAGAAAAGTGCTTCTGAAAACACCATACTTCACTTCCAAAAACTATTAACAGAGAGAGTGCACACGGTAACGGAAGGCAAAAGGTTACTGTTTGAAAGGCTTTGTAAGCAGGAAGAAATGCAAGACCTCAACACAACACAGCTGTATGCTGATCCATCAGCCATACAACAGGTTGGTTTCATGAACTTTCTATGAAATTAACATGCAAATAGGTTCTGTCAAGTAGTATGAAATGAAATACTTAAGAGTGTATGTTACCCACATGAGTACATGAGCTTGCTTACCTTTAATAGTCACCTTCAGTCATTTAAACTAAAACAAGGTGTGAGTTTCCATCACAATCCTTAACTAGCAGGTGTTAGAAGTGATGTCAGTTAGTTGAATAAAAAATATGACTTCTGCCTATATATCTTGGTTCACCTATGTGCCACAATTAACAGCCTTAATTGAAAGAAAATAATACTTTAACTGATCAAACAAAACACGTACAGTTAAAATTTCATCCCATCATTGCCAATTACCATTTCCACGGTCTTCCTAACAAGTTAGTCCTCTGCAATTAACCAATGTGTTGAAGCCATAGGAGAAGTTTTTGATTAGGCAGGGCTGGTGTGGAAACCACAACTCTAAACTCCTTAACCTGCATTTACCCTCCTCCTAGCCTCTCGCCCTGCTCATGCTGGTGTGAAGGAATATCCCCCTCTGCCTGCTGAAGGCTTGCAGCAATGTGCAGCACTTAACTGGAGAATTCAGTGAGCCAGAAAGAAAGCACACAGAATTGATGCCTACGTAGAAGGGGCACGCATGAGTTATGGTCCCTGTTCTGGACTGGGCAAGGGGTCTTTTATGTCCAGTAACCCACAGAAAACATAGAATCTGTGCAGGGAACAATGACATGCTAAGAGACAAATGCCAGATCATGACTGTTAGTCTGCAAAATCCTACTAGCCACTTCTTCATTTTGTGGCTGTGTAAGTACCTTATGGTCTGTATTACATTTGCAGGGTTTTTCTTTCTGTGTATTCCAGCAAAACAACTTTATGGATCTCAGTCATGTTTGGGCATAGACCTACACAGCCCGGCCAAAGCCAGGTCTGGGCATAAACAAAGGCAGAGCTCAAGTCAGTCAAGTCCTTATTGCAGCAGCAACAGCCACCAGGTTTGTTTACACACAGAGGCCTAAATTCCATCCAAGTCCCTCTTCATAAAACTTTACATAAAAATATTATTGGATATAATGCGTTATTTCCTGCTCTGTGCTTAATCATTTCCTTGTCAATTCTTTTATGAGAGACATTACGAAGGCAAATAATTTCCACCAAACTGCATTTAATCTGCCATTTGACTAGAATTTTAAAAACAATTCAGAGAAGTCAGGAGAGAGATCCCTAGAAAATAATCGTTTTTTGATCATGTTAATTTACACAGTAACATGGATACATAGTTTTTTCAGTGTATGCTTATCTACCACTTTTCACATTTTACACTAATTTCTCGGTATAAACCTTCTTTGCTTTGTAATACTGTCACTGAAACTATAATTTCCAACAATACTAGTATCATCACTGGTTTAAAAATCTTTCTTCTCTCCCTCTTTACAATGAGTTGGTTCAAAGGTACACCCTTGAACTTGCATTTTATTACTTGCATACAGAAGTGTTGTCTTTGGAAGGAGGACAAGGTTTGCCCCTGCCATGACAGTAGTCAGGTATCCCTATAGAACATGGTGAACCCACTGAAGACCTCACCATTCCTACACTACTAAAATCACAGGTCAGTTCTTCTACATGGGAACTAGAAAAACATGTGACCCAACCTTAATTCAACCAGTACATTTAAGTTTAGTTCAATTATGATTTAAATTATTTGAAGTAACTGTACTGAAAATAAAATGAGTAACTTACATGTTTTGCTCTACCTTCTCTGTTTCATGAGTGCAAGGCTGAAACTGACTTGGTAATTCATTTCAACAAGAAGACTCCCCTTTTCTCCATGCTACTCTGAGTAATCCAGTTCTTGCTGGATGCCCTATAAACCAGTTCATCTCACTAACCTCACACAAGACTAGCCCATCTAGTAAGAAAAAACCCTAAGTGGTTTTTCTGTGTGAGTTGAAGCACATTCTCAGATGTGTCAGGACTAACTCTGAGCAGCTGAAAAGTTATTTTTGTTGCAGTGTGCCTGTACTTTTAGAAGAAATACTAACCTCATAGAAGCAGTTAGCACTGCAGAGATGACAAACTTAATTTTAAATTCTGTGTGATGCACAAGGATCCAAATCTTTCCAAACCTTGCTGTCATTCAGTACAATGGCCCCTAAATCCCTCTTTATCTCCTTCCAGAAAATAAAAAAATAAAGACTTTTAATTCATTAAAATCAGCAGACCTTTCAAGAATATGTATCTGTTTTTAAATGCTGATATTCAGGACAACACAAAAGCACTGAGGAAAACGACTCGCTGAATTCTTAGCATGTCAGAGCAGAGAATTGCAGAGCACACTTGCAGTCTTTACTTGGAAATTGTTCGTATCAACACTAGGTGGTAGACATGAAGCAAGAACTGACAGAAAAAAAAATAACACAAGTGTGTTTACTTTCCAAGTGAAGAGTTTTTTTCCTCAGAAAACTTTTCAGAAAGCAGGATTTATCTGACAAACAAATGTCCAAAGAAGGTGAACTTCCCTTTGTGTGGGATTCCTCTTCTATTCTGCTTTGTGACTGCAAAGTATAGCTTGCTTTTCGTAAATGTTTTGTCAGAAAGCTGTCTTCTGCCCTGCTGTTCATTTTCGATCAAAGATAGTTAAGAAATGTCAGATGCAAGATGAGGCATTTGGCATCATCTGACATTTGTGTGCTACTCCCATTTATACAGATAACAATTAATTTCCTTGAGACAGCTAAAGTGATATCAAGACAACCTTTCTTCACTTTGGTTGTATTTACAATTCCACGTAACTTTTTGCTTAGAGACAAAATTACCAGGAATGTTGCACGTTTAGAATTCTGGCTGTCTAGAGTTATGATCTGTCTCCATTGGACAGCATCCCCAGGGGTAGTGACAATGGGCTAAATAGAATGTTGCTAGGCCAAAGGATTTCTCAAAACATTCCCTTCAGAAATAGTATTAGTTAATCCAACTCATCCTTCCAGTGTATTTTTATATCCACTCAAGCTTTTGCTGTGGCTAGGCTTTCTGTGATCACAGCTTTACATATATTACAGTCACACAATATACAGACACACTTATGGGCCAATGACATGGAAGGGTGGGCCACCATCTGGCACGTGCTAAATGGTTATGCGTATGGAACTACCATAGGACTGCAGCGGTTTGGGAGGAGAGCCTTTCTTAGATATAGATCCTCAACAGAAAGGCCAGACCGAGCCATCTTGTCCATGTAACTGATCCTGGGAATCTTAATATAAATTAGATCATGAAAAAGTTCCAGGGTAATAATCAAAACCAAATAATGATAGCAAGAGCATCAATCCTATAAATAATAGGGATTTTTGGTATTCTCTTTCCTCAAATATCTACATTATTGCCAGAGGGCCATTAAGATTAGTTTGAGGGAAAATCTGACTCCTCTCCAGTTTGCAAATGGCAACACTGAGATTTTTGAGTTGTAGCAGATAAATGGAACTATTACCACTCTGACCTACATTAAAAACCTTCATTCTTCTCTAAAGCACGTTCATTCATTAAGATGAATGGAACACTATACACATCTTTGATAGGGTTGTTATTTTGGAAAGTCCTGTGAATGCCCTTCTAGATTATTCGAGAAACTGTTTGGGGCAAAGGCTTTGAGAATGAGCTTCAGGAAGCAGAAATGCTTGCACTGATGGTGGATCCACAAGCATTATCTGCATGACTGGCTTTAAAGACTCTGTATTCAGAGTCATCCTGTGTTTCTCAGGCAGCTAGGTCTCTTTTGTGTTGGCACAAGCATCCACATGGCCAAGCAACCCTGCTTTTTTTATTTTTCCTAATGGGAATGGTAATGTAAGACATGGCAGATAGTGAAGCCAGGAGCGTTTATATGAACTGAGCTACCCAGTGATAACTAACACAGGTTGCTGTGTACAACCCTCCCCCTATGCATTAGGCTCAAAGGTATGGGCAGACAACCCAACCGAGCAATCCTATGAAAATTACTGGGGAGCTGTATAATGCCTACATGGATGACTTACCTACAGTCAAAGTGAAGAAGAATGAACAGTCTCACCCCAGCTCTCTAGTTAGGTTAATGTAATGGGAGGGAGGTCTGTTGGCCACAATAAACATAATAGAAACGTCCTCTTGTATCTCGTTTGGCAACGTTTCCCTCCTCTTTCTTCCTCTCCTTCTTACATAGTCTCATTCCACCTTACTCCACATTCAGAGATAAGAGCTTAGACTGAACTACATTTTGTGACCTCAGCTTGGTTAGAATGAAATCTGGCTTCTCTTCACTTTCCCAAAAACGAGTGTGCAGGAACCTGAGCCCTGCAGGATGTTGTGTAAAACAACCTAGCATATGGAAAAGCTCACCACAGAATAAAGGCCTTGCTCCTCCTCTCTTCCTGTAGGAGCAAGCTTTGCTGAATGTAATTAAGCCAGGCTGTCATCACCTGCAGCACACAATGGCCTAAAACTTGAACCAAGACAGAACTAAAAGAAGGGTTTTTACATCTACATTCTGTTTCTGAAAGTACTCAGGAATGTTTTACCAGCACATAGAGCATGAATATTCTTGTAAAATAGCATACAGACTCAATAACTAGCTAGGCAAACATCTTACCTTGTATATTCCATGGGAAGTTTACATAGAAATATGACTAATAACAAAATTTAGTATTCAATTAAGACATTTGACACTGCACTTCTTGCACCTGGCAATGAGGGCTATGTTGAACTCATAATGTGTTCTTGAGATGAAACGAAAAGATAAATACCTTACATACCAAATTATCAGGATCATTATCTGTAGTATATCTGACTTCCTCAGAAAATTCCTTCCCATCCAAATACAATTGCAATTTGAAGCTTTTCGATTGAAAGATTCTCAGTGTAAGTCACAATACTAATGACTTGCTAAATAGCCTTTAAAAAAACCCCTATCTTGCGGCCAAGATGTTGTATATAAAACATAGTTGAACACTTTGATTATGCTATATTGAATGCAGGTATTTGGAAGGCTGGCTAATGGGAAGCAACCAGTGACTTTACCAGATTGAAACAGAAGTTAAGTGTCTTAACTGACTTCGGTAATTATCTGGGTTCTGTTATATGGGTTTTTATAACGGACAATAACAGGAAAGGTATCAAAAAGCACACTGGCCAAGCCTCCACTGGTAACAAGTTCCATACACAGACCCAGCTGAGACAAGGAATATTCTCTGACTTAATGGGACCTCCACCTTCATAGAAGAGGGCTTCTAAAGACTTTTTCTAAAAATAGTACAGAGTACAAAGCTGGTACACTCAGGTTTCAGTACACAGTATTACTGCCAAAAATATTTTCCAGAGAATTTTGCAAAAAGTTAACAGAAATCACACTTCCTCGAAGATTAACTTTGTAAATTTGTCCTGGTCAAGGACTCAAATGACGTCTAATAGATTTGTAATTCAGAGTAACTCCTCCTCCCTCCCTCACCACCCCCAAGAAAATCCTCTCCTTACCAATATCCTTTGATGTTATTTTGGCATGCTTTCAGTGGATTTTGTAGTGACTTTGTTCCCTGGCTTGCAAAATGCAGAGATTATTTACACCATCCACTTTTAAGCCTTGTTAATGTTGATGCCAGAGAAACATGATTTTCTTGCGCAGAATTAAAAGTTTCAAACATAATGAGCATTCACTGCTAGCATAGCTGTAAAATGTTACCATGGTGTCAAGTTAAATTGATAAAATGTTCTTAGTGTGTGGAAGGCCTTGATTAGACTGTGAGTAGAAATATACTGGTTTTCATTTTAATTCACAGTTCATTATAAAGCAAATAAAAAGCTATGTTCTAGCTTCTGCTACAAAGGAGTAAATATTTAAGCCTAAACAACTAGCAGCTGCTTTTTAATTATTAAAAAAAATGCAACCCCAAACAACTTTTAAAGTTGTTTCTGCTAATGCCATAATAGTGAAATTTTATCTTTTGTCTTTGAAGATGAGCTTCCTTGTGGGCTCCCAAATTTCACTTACATATACACATCAATTTTTCATGTAGAACAGTTTCAGTGAGTGAAGCAGTGAGCACCACTCATACACACTACTGAACACATGCTTAAATATTTTGGTGGCTTGATTCAACCTACAGAGTTTCAACTTTTCAGCTGCAAACATCCTAATTGAAGAAAATCTCTTCATTGCCACAGTAGTACAAATGATCACTCATTCATGGCCATTTATCAGAAACAGCAAAGTCCTTCACCTTGCTGCAACCAGCTGTATCAGAACACAATGCATAGAGAATTTATGCTGCATGTTTTTGTGGCATCTAACAAATACTCTGGATTTTTACACATACAGGTAAGATTTCAAAGATTAGAAATAATAACATGTTCTTCTCTTTGTGGCCCAGGCATCTCAGAAATGCAGCTTGATACAATGCCATGCTTTAGAATTCTGAATTTTAAAATCTAAGACAAATTAGGAACCAAATTCTGTAATTTGATTTATTGCACAGGACTAATTTGCATATAGAAGAACATTCATCATATCAAAGGCCAGTAATCATTACATAAATATCCTTACTGATTTGAAGGTGATGTCTAAGGACTGTGTTTTCTAGTGGCCAGTCAAATTTCTGCTAGTCAGTCAGTCAGGCCTGACTTGGATGGCCCATCAATATTTACTATAATCTTCTTTCATATTTACTTATTTTTAAAGGCCTATGTTTTAGTTTTTAACTTTAAAACCATGGGCCTAATGCACTTTACTGATTCAGTTAATGCTAAACCTCTGGTTTTCAAGAGACATCCCAAAAAGCAGAAAGAAAAATAGCTGTTATCCTACTACTTCCTGATCAGGATGCCAGCTCTTCTACCCATTGTAATAGGAAAAATGCAAAGAGAGAAACGTTAACAGAGAAAATAGGAACGTTAACATCTCAGCTATTTAACAGAATTTTATTGAATGCTTGCAAAGATATACCTAATGGAACAGCCTGTTTCACTTTTACAGGTGCAATATTTATACCTTTAGGAAAGCATCCCTTAAAAATTTTGACCATTACTGAGTTAGATCAGAATCAGAGGTAGTGCATATATGCCTCTAGGTGTGTAGCTTTCTGTAGAATTTGTGAATGAGTGATGAATTTCAATCATAGTGTAAGTATTGCTGTGTACAGTTGTGTCCTCCACAGGGGATATCTGATATTAAAAAGCTCAAGCAAATTAGGCCCATCAAAGAAAAAATAAAAAAAAAAACAAAGCATATTGAAAAGCTTAAATAAGGCTGCAGTGAAATTTGAGATAGTAAGATGCAAAATAATGAAAATACATCAATCATTTTATTTCCATCTAAGATACCCCAGGTCCACCAGTGTAACTGTAAGCACAAACAAGGTAAGATGTTTTCCAGCCTCTTCATAGAAAAATGATGCAAGCTAAAATGAGACTATTGTTTCATTTTACATGAAAACCATGACTTTGTTCCTGGGATTTTGGCTGTATCACTCCCAATAAAAACATTTTTAGTGGACACTCGCAAATACATATACCTGCAGCTGAAAGACAATTATTAGCATATGAGAGTCAGTAGGGATGCAGCATTTTACCAGGAAAAGTATATGAAACTCTACGTAATAAACAGAAAATCTCCATGTAAACGATTTTCTGTTGTTGGTCCAAAACCAATTTCTGAGCAACATTTATATGTCTGTGACCCCAGAAATACAAAAAATATATTTTATCTATTCAGTGCATGTGTACTTACCCATCCCCAGGTTACCAAGGTAGCCTACCTACCTAGACTGTTCAGGAATGTATTTATTTAGCACACTTTTTGTAGCTATGAAGTCAAGCACACTAAACAGGCTCAGCATGTACTACTAAACGAGCTTGTGCGTGTCTGGCTGTGCATGTGTTCACACAAGGAGGATATCCCTTTCAGCACCGCTGAAAAAATGATTGGTATATATCAGTCCATAACATTGTTATTTTGAATACCAACCAAATCGAAGCACAACCCAAACTTCATTCTGTAGGTCTGCATCCATATGGATGACAGTGAAACAGGTCTGCTGTGCATAGCGTAAACATACCAGGTAGATATTTTATTGTATCGTGATGATGAACCTAAACCACTACCGCTAGTAGGAGCCTAAAAACGCTTAAGAACTGCTCCGTTTGGGTAGCCTCGGATTGTGTGACTTACACTTTAAGGTGAGCATCTCGAGAATGCCGGCCGGGCCTCGGCGCGACTCCGGCAGGAGGTCACGCTCGGCGTGGCTGGAACAGGGCGGCGGGCGCATCCCGCTGCGCGGGGAGTGCTCCCCTGCCGCCAGGGGCTCATTCCCGCTGCCCGGGGCTCATCCCCGCTGCCCGGGGCTCATTCCCGCTGCCCGGGGTTCATTCCCGCTGCCCGGGGCTCATTCCCGCTGCCCGGGGTTCATTCCCGCTGCCCGGGGCTCATTCCCGCTGCCCAGGACGCGGCCACGCCGCGGGCTCCGCGCAGGGACGTGCGAACGCCCGGGCCGGTGGCGCGGCCCCAGCAGCGAGAGCGGATGCGACTCAGGCGAGATGCAGCCGAGGTCCAAAGCCGTTCGACAGCTCTCCTTCGGCGGGACCGGCTCGGGAGGCAGGAGGCGGAGGGGTGTTCCTTGCACTTCGCCTCCGGGATGCTGCCGGGGCTCTCCGCCGGGACGGAGCGGAAGGGACCGGTCGGGACGCTCCGCTCCCCTCCCCGAGCGCTCCCGCCGCCGGAGACCCGAGGCCCTCCCGGCTGCACGTGCCCCCGCAGGGCCCCGAGCAGCCGCCGCGGCCCGGCCCGACACCGAGCCGCGTCCGGGCGGCCCCGTCCGGGCACACCTCGCCCCCCGCGCCCCTCGTACCTGTGCTGCAGCCCCACCAGCCCCAGCGTGATCACATGGGGCACGTCCAGCTCCGTGGGCCAGGCGCCGGAGGCGATGCAGCCGAACACGCCGCACTCCTCCCGGATGCCCAGCTCCTCCAGCTCCATGGCGCGGGCAGCACGTGGTGGCGCGGCGGCCGCGCTCCCGCTCCCAAGTCCCGGCCCCGCTCCAGCGGCTCCCGCGCGCTGCTGCCGGCGGCACGCTCAGCCCACACCGCCGCTCCGCCCGGGGATCCCGGTGGCCCGTGGGACGCCTCCCGCCCTCATTTACATACGGGGGGGCGACACCGCAGCCCCAGCCCGCTCCGCCGCCTTGCCCGGCCCCGCCTCTCCTAGATTCCACCCTGCCCGCGACCCCGCGGGGCGCACCAGGCCGAGGGAATGTTTGCCCGCGGGGTGAGGGCGCGGGGGGGCGGGGGCCGGGCGCGGCGTGGCGCCGGCATTGGCCGAGCAGAGGGCCGGGGCTGTTTGCACGGGACGGGGGGGTGATGCCGCCGTCCGGGGTTCGCTCGAGGGGCTCGGCGGGGCCGCCCCGCGGTGGCGAGGGGCTCGGCGGGGCCGCCCCGCGGTGTAGGGCGGCGATTGGCGGGCGGCGTCGCTGCCCGCTGCCGGGGCTGCCCGCCCCTTCCGCCGGCCCCTTCTTACCCCGGCGGCCGAGCCGTGTGGCGTGAGCTCAGGCTCTCTCCTGTGCCCTAGGTGCCCGCGCCCGCTCCCGCCGCAGCCATGGCCCCCGCAGCATCAGGTAACCGGGCGGCCGTCGGGGGTGGGTCGGTCGGTCGGAGGTGCCGCTCTCGGGGGGCCGGTGCCCGCTCAGCGGCTTGGGGTGTAGGTGCTTGGGAAGCAACTTTTTCCTAGCGTAGTTTTAATTTTTTGGGGTTTTTAATAACTTGTTTTTCCGTGGGTAGTCGCTCGTGCGGGAGGGCGGGCAGGGCTGCAGGAGAGGTGGCGGGAACGCCTCCGGGCGCAGGATGGTTCAGGCTGCAGCCGCCCCACGCCGCTCGTAACGCGGAGCTCCGGGACTGCCCCGAAGTCGGAAGAAAAAAAAGACAAAAGCGGCGGGGCTCTTGGCCGCCCCGCTCAGGCGGCGGCTCCCAGTGGAGCTGGGCGGTGGGGGCGGCTGGGGCACGGCCGGAGCTGCCCGGCGGCGGCTGACACAGCCCCGTGGCGCCGGGAGCAACGGGCGGAAACCTCGAGCTGTTACGGGGAACGTGGCCAAATCCTCCTCGTGGTCAGGGACCACAGCATGGGGTCCTGCTGGATCCCCATCGACTCGAAGGTGGTGGCTCTGAGTGCGGAAGTAAACAAGTTTTTGTGGTGCAAAAATAACTTTTTTTTTTTCGCCGTGTGTGTGTGTGTTGTTGGGTTTTTTTGGTTTTTTTTGGTTTTTTCCTCTAGACCTGAAACTTGGCAAAAAAGTTAATGAAGGTAAAACGAAAGAAGTGTACGAGCTGCCAGATATCCCAGGATGTGTTCTCATGCAGTCAAAAGACCAAATAACGGCGGGAAATGCAGCCAGGAAGGACCGAATGGAGGGGAAGGCTGCCATTTCCAACACAACGACAAGTTGTGTGTTTCAGCTGCTCCAGGAAGCTGGTAAGTAGTTTTGAGGTAGGGTGTGTATGCTTGTATGTTACAGACATTATTACAAAACAGTGTTGTTTTATAGAAGAGTTTAACCTGCCTTGAGGCTCTCGTGGTTTTTTTTAGTTTCTTTTCTATTAGGTTTTAATTATGCTTTTCTCTCGGGTACTTTAGAGCTGGGTGAGTGACTTATTCATTTGGAACATGAGAGTATCTGCAGTAATCTAATGTTGCAGATAACTGCAATATTTTTTTCTACTTGTTTGGACATGCCTCTAATCCCCTCCCCTCTCCTTTTGTCAGTTCTTCCATACCCTACACCTACCTCCTTACATGTAGCTCTGGGCTGGATGCATCTGCCTTGCTTTACTACATCTGCATGCCCAGAATGCACTTATAGCTAGTGGCACTACAGCACCATGTCTAGGCTGTATGAAATCTGTGTATGTAAGCTGAAACATAAAATTAGAGTGTTTTTCCCCCCCTCAGTTGTGTGTTACAGCAGCATAGACTTCCTGTAAGCTTTGCATGTAACACTTGTGCGGACCACATTGCAAAATACGTTTATCAGTCTGTATTGAATATATCAGGAGCTTAATCTTTATTTTAGAAAGATTCCAAGTAACTCTGATGCTAGCAGTGAGTTTTCACTGAGTGCATAACTTAAATCACTCAAGTGAGTTTTGCACCACACTTCCAAAAATGGAGCCAGTAGCTTTGCTTTGAGAAAGCATTTTGAAGTGTCTTTGACTGAGTAGTTTGTAAGTTGCAAAGAGGAATCCGTGCTGGTGAGGAGTCTGCTCTAAGTACTAGAATAGAGGCATTGGTAAGCTTAGCTAAGATCGCTTATAGCTGTGTGCTCCAAATGCTTTGAAATACTTGCACAGACTGTTTCAGGCACCAGCTGAGTTATTCTAGAATTTGTATTATCTGTTATAAGGTGTGGTGATAGCTCTCAAACAAACTGAAGTCCTAGCATGTTTCATATGGGGAAGAGAAAGATGGGTTCTCTAGAGTTATTTCTTTGTCTCAGCCTGTATTTTAAGAATTACTTGCACAGAAATATATACCAAATAATTCAGTGTAATCCTGAGTCACTGGCTTTCTTGGGAAGCCTGTTGTGTATACAGTATTAAGAAGCCTCCTAGGTATTTGATTATATTTGCAGTTGATTAAGACTTTTAGTTCTCATTTAGGAGCAATTAGTGAGATGTTTTGCCTAATTCTTGAATGGCAATATTTAAGATAACAATCAAAATACTTCATATCCTACAGATGTGCGTTTTTAATATGAAGAAGCCATTCTGTTGACCTCTCAAAAAGCCATGAGTGTACTCACGGATTTTGTACTCGTAACTTCCACAGGTGCCATGGAAAAACATGCAGAGTAAACTGCAGCTGTGTTTTAAAGCAACAAAAGAGCTTTCAGGGTTCTTCTCTAGTTTCCTTATTTGAGTGGTGTAAATGCAGATAGCGGGAATGCCTTATTGTAGAGGGTGTTTGTTTGCTTTGCGCAACTCTGCTTTACCTGCTCTTTCAGAGGTGATGATTTACGAAGTTCTGTTAAAGTTTCTCTGCCTTTTATAATAGAGTTAATGGCAGCCAAGCAAAAGCACAAATCTGCACTGATGGAAAATGTAGTAGTGAACCAGACAGGGGCCTTAATGTTCATTTGATTATTTAAATCATTCTGCCTTTGAAGGAAATGGGCTAAGCTTTGAAAACTCGGTGTTCATACTTTAAGGCTTTTTGTTTTGTCCTTTATGGTTCTGGAAGTGGAATGGAATAGAGCTGCTTTGTTTGACTGAGTGCAACTCCTTTGCCTTCTGTTTCTGGCAGGTGCTGATTTGGCTTGGCAATGGTCTTGCCCTGATCGGGTGATCGATGCAAAGTGAACTAGAGTCCCCAGGCAGTGCCAAGGAGAGCAGCTTTAGTGCAAAAACCAGGCCTTTTCAAGCAGTTAGCTCATTATCAGCTACATAGTTTTGAATCATAACAAACATAATTTAACCAACCACCATACACCACGACGTGAACACGTAGTGGTTATATAACTTGTTTTTCTACCTCTTAATTCAGCTGAGTCTCTTTCCCATAGTCCTTTTCTGCTTAGCTGAAGTAACAGGCCTGAGCCATGATTTTACAAGCCCTTCCTTTTGTAAGGTTTTACCTATATCCAACAGCCGAGGAGAAAAGTGAGACTTTCCTCAAGAGTGAAATTGAAAAAAGAGCCATTTTGCACTTAGAGTGCTGATCTGCATGTTGGCTGTCCCTGTTTAAAGTGGGGTCCATCATCTTACAATTGTGTAAGAAGGTTGACTTGTTGCAGCTGGTTTGTGTAAATGCTTCTTAATCTGTCTTTTGCCTAATAAATCACCAAGATCTAGTGTCCTAAATAACTTAGTTTGTGATGAAAGGGAGGACAAAGCCGTTCTCTCTGCCCCATCTGCTTTTATTAAGCAAAGTAGTAAAGACTGCTGTGCTGTTACTCCTTTGAAAAGCTCCAATTAGTGTTTGATCTATAATGAATCTTCCACTAGAGAACATGGTTGGGTACTTGGTTGCTGCTAACTTGTATTTTTTAAACAAACATTATGAGGGATAGATTTAATTTTTTTAAGGCTCTGTGAACAAAATTATTTTCAAGAATAGGATTTCTGAGTTACAAGTGAGTGTTGTATGATAAAATTGACTTGTGGAAGATACTTGCCTTTTTGCAAGGCTGGAGTGGGCTTTAAAATACCCTGAAGAGATTCAGTGTGTCTCAAGTCCAGGGAAAAACAAGATACAGATGTACTTAAAGATGTTTGTGACTGCTGTTTTAACTGTGGAGTGTGCCTATTAATGGAACTAAGGTGCAATCTTTTTATTTAGGAATAAAAACAGCTTTTGTCAGGAAACAGAGTGACACAGCATTCATAGCAGCTCACTGTGAAATGATCCCAATTGAATGGGTGTGCAGAAGAATTGCTACTGGCTCCTTCCTCAAGAGAAACCCTGGTGTCAAAGAAGGGTATAAGTTTTACCCACCCAAAATTGAGATGTTTTACAAGGCAAGTTTCCTTTCCTGTGATGTTAATCAAACTTAAGCAGAGCTAGAATTCTGTATTACCTTCTGTAAAATTCTGACAGATAAAGGAAGTAGTGCTGGTGGCTGACCAATCCTCTCTCTATCAGTAGTTTTGCCATTCTAATGTTTTCTTGCATTCTTGTCCAAAAGTTGTTTTGTCCAAAGTGCATACAGTAGTGGCTTACAGTGCAATCAAAGAGTAACAAGCCAAACTGTACTTAAAACTAGAAAAATGTAGGTGTAAGGGCTTTTTAAGCACAAGCTTAATGCATCAGTTGAAACAGATGTGTTGAAGTATTTGAAAAAATTAAAATAAACAGTGCTTGCATGGTGAGCGTAAGTAGCCAGTCACTTACAATTCTGAACTCCTTTGGGAATGTCTGCTGAAAGGTGTATCTTGTGAACTGTAATCTAAAGTGTTTGTGGTGTGCCCTAAAGGTGGTCAGGTGTTACAGCAAGTGTTTTTAATGTTACTGTCAG